AAACCTATCGAACACCACCCAAGCGAAAAACACGCAGGGACACCAACGGCTCGCCTCCCAGGATTGTGTGAATATTCTACTTCAGTGCTCATGTAACAAATGCTCTCGTATCTTGCTGAACTTCGGCGTAACAATGCGTACTGGGTATCTAAACAAACAAAGAGCGATGACGATTGCTGCAGAGTCCCTACAACGCTTTTGCTTTGCACTCGCTTTGTCTGTCTCTCTGAATACATATGGAGATGTGCATGTATGTATATGTATACATATTTATATACATATATATATATATGTTGTGGCATAAGGATTGCTTTCTGTGTTTTATAACATCTGCCAACCTGCATCTGCCTATCTTTCTGCCTGTATATCTAACCTCTATAGTGTCACAAGAATGTGAGATGAACATGTCTGTACCTAGCATTGTTGTTAGTAATATGCGGTATATACCTATATGTGTATGTTTAACCCCCCACGACACACACACACACACACACACAGTATGCCAAATGACAATATCATGCAAGAAAAAATTCCTCCCGGGAAGCCCACTTGCTTGAAGGGGGAGTACACTAATCGGCATTCAACATTAGTCGCTGCTTCTCATCTTCCCAACGAATATGGATGACGTCACATGAGCAAAATCAAGGACGCTTGGAAGGTCTTCCGTGACTCAGTGCATGTTGATGTCTACTCTTGGGACCAGTTGAGCCCTAAACGGGCTTATGACTCATACACCTTAATGGGGGTTCTAGTATTTTAGGACGTATGATCCCAAGCCTTAAGCCCCACTATAACCCCTAGTAAGAGTAAATATGAGCCATAAACCCTCTTATGGCTCCTGTGGTACGGAGGTTGCTTACAAAATTATAACCCTAAACACTACACCCTAAACCCTAAACCCTAAACCATAAACTGGGGGTTGAGGGCTCAGCAAAGCGGCCGCTCTGCATAGGTCACGTCCCAAAGAACCAGAAGCCGAGTGGACCTCCGAAGGATACCTTCGGAGCTTGGGCTTAGGGTCGTTGGGGTTTAGGGTTTAGGGTTTAGGGTTTAGGGTTTAGGGTTTAGGGCTTGGGGCGTAGGGCTTAGGGTTCAGGATTTAGTGTTGTAGGGTTTTAGGGTTTTAAGGTTCAGGTTGTGTTGGTAGCTCCCAGGTACACTGGGGCGGGACTACAGGGAAACACCGAAGTCATAACAAAAACGGCTGGGCAAGGCAAACCCCAGTGAACCGCCCGTGACGTCTTAAAGACAGAGACACGAGAAAGTCCCAACATCCCCTGAAACAAAGTACGCTTCAGAAGCTGACCGTTCCTATCTAAAACAACTGAAAGAAGTCATAACAAACACCTCCCTGCGCTTGGAACCGCTGCTCCCAGCACATGCGCGGTGAAGGGAAACCTGTGTTCATGAGAGGTCATTGTGATAAGGTATGGCTTTGGGGCCTGCGCGAGGGTCGCGCGAGGTCCGCGCGAGGTCCGCGCGAGGTCAGGCAAAGCGCTTGCCTATATATTGGCCTCGCGAGCCACTAGAACAGGTTAGCAACAACAGCGACTTCCCCATTGTGATCGCTCAATGTTCTGACTACTCGTTTTGCTCCCCCTCAACCCCCAAACCCTGTACACCCTATAAGCCCAAAGACCTGAGCCCAAAGCCCTAAACCCTAAACAACCATAAACCTTAAACCCTAGACCCTGGTCTAAACCCTGAACCCGACAGACCCTAAGCCCTAATCCCTACAAACCCTAGACCCAAACCTGTCTTGTGCTTTTTAGTGCAGCTTTTGGGATCCTGGGGCCGAGACACCGAGACCGAACTGCCCAGAGCTACCAAGGGCAGGTTTTAGGGCCAGGGTTTAGGGCTAGGGATTAGGGTTTAGGGTTTGGGGTTTAGGGCTAGGGTTTAGGGTTGAATTTAGGATTTAGGGCTATCGGTGTTCAATCTTGCGGGGGGGGGGGGGGGAGGGGGGGGTGGGGGGGGGGGTGGGGATTAGGATACCCCCGATGACCCCAAACGCTCTAAGCTCCACACCTGAACCCCCAAAACCTACCTTGAGGGTCCATGTAGGGTCCATGTACCTCATTTCTAAGAATGAGTCACCACACCCCAAACCCATACCCCTTAGCCTATAGACGTAAGGGAGGATATTATCACTGTTTTATACTTCGGCCCCAAAGTGCGCTCAGATAGGAAGTACGTTGAGGCCCAAGTCGTCCCGACTTAGGTACGTGCACCTTAGGGCTGCAGCTTGATTAGGGTTTAGGGTTTAGGGTATAGGGTTTTGGGTTTTGGGTTTTATTGAGCTCAACACATAAGCCCTAAGCCGCCATCCAGGCAGGGCGCCACCAATGCTAAGCACACCTTGCGTCTTGAGCTTGGCGCTTCCTTGTTGCACGTCGTGCGCAACGGGCGGGTTTAGGGTTTAGGGTTTAGGGTTTAGGGTTTAGGGTTTAGGGTTTAGGGTTTAGGGTTTAGGGTTTAGGGTTTAGGGTTTAGGGTTTAGGGTTTAGGGTTAATCGGGAGCCCTATGAGCCGGGGTTTGAGTTGAGAGTTTTTGGGGGGATAGGGTTTAGGATTTAGGCTATAGAGCCAAACGTCAATACACGAATTCGAACTTAGCGCTCGCGTTCGTGACTGTGCAAGTGTGCCACCCTCTTTTCCGTGGGCCATGAACTCTAGACCCGACACACCACTGAGAAGGAACATATTTAGGGTTTAGGGGTTCCGGTTTAGGGTAGAAACTTCACCGCAAGTGCGAAACCCTAAAGCCAAAGCCTCACCAACCTGGAGACAACAGTGCTTACCCTGTACACTTAGGCCCTAAAAAGCCCTAGGCAGACCCAATCTCCCACAAGACCCGAAGAACCAGGAGGGGCCCCTTGCCGGCCACACCATGTGCGACCCCTAAGCCCTAAACCCTAACCCTAAACCCTAAACCCTAAACCCTAAACCCTCAGGGCTTGCGGGCGGGGGGTCCAAAGGAGTTTTGACGCCCTCAGCCTCTAAACCCTACCCTTGAACCCCTAAACAATCGTTCGGGTCGTGCTTGTTTCTGCCGTTTGTTTTTTTTTTTTTTTTTTTTTTTTTTTGGGGGGGGGGGGGTGCGGGGGAGTTTTGGGACCCCCAAGCCCACAAACCTTAAAACCCTTCTGCAAAAGTTGGGTGCTGGGATGGTGGGCGCTCCTTGGTGAATGCAGCATACGTCGAGGAACACCTTGTCCTGAGGCGAAGGTTTAGGGTTTAGGGTTTAGGGTTTAGGGTTTAGGGTTTCGGGTTTCGGGTTTCGGGTTTCGAGTTTCGGGTTTCGGGTTTCGGGTTTATTATACCCGAAACCCCAAACCCTAAACCCTGAATTAGGGTTTGGGTCTTGTAAGGGATACCTAATACCCTATCTCACCCCATATGTCTGCACCCTTCTGATCCCTAGATGCAAAGGTATCCCCAAACTGGGCCCCTAGATTTCCTGAACGTCTCTGAAACGGGCCCCCCCCCCCCCCCCCCTAGTCCTGTAGCCTGAAACTAGACCTTATCATCCACCAGTTCCGCGGACTTGCTGAAACACCCAAGCCCTCAATGAGAAACTATACGCCGGGATCGAGGCCGAAAAACCTCAACAACTGGTACCTGGGTACCGAACGCTCGTTCTCCCCAGCATACTTGTAACCCTAAACCCTAAAGCTCTAAACCCCACACGGTAGCTACTCTACCAACCGAGGAGCGGATTGCGGCCACGTCAGCAAAGCTATCAGGTAGCCGACCACACCGAAGGCGGTGCTCCAGAACGATACCTGAGTTTAGGGTTTAGGGTTTAGGGTTTAGGGTTTTAGGGTTTCGGGTTTAGGGTTTTAGGGTTTAGGGTTTAGGGTTTTAGGGTTTTAGGGTTTTGGGGCTTTGGGTTTTTTAGGGCTTCAGGGCTTTTGCATCCCCCCAAAACGCTTTTTGTATGCCCTATGTCACGTATGAGCCCTTGTAAGCAATCCCAAGACAAGAATTCTTTTGAGCAGTATTTCGTAAAAGCCCCCCCCCGCCCATGGTGCAATGCCAGCTCGGCTTTTTGGGTAGAGGGTTCAGGGTTTAGGGTTAGGGTTCGGGGGGAAGGGGAGAAGCTGGGGGGGAACCCGTCCCACGCTAGTCCCTTGTACAGACATTGTAGGATTTCATAGCTTGCCACTGCTTCACGGTTCGGATGTAGGGCTTGGGATAGGTTTAGGGGCTGCAGGAGTTTAAGGCTTTCAAGTCTTGTGCACGGCCTGTGAGTCTTTCTTGGTGCTGAAGAAGGTGAGTGCCTAAATCATCCCTCTAAATAGCCACTCCCCCAAACCCTCTGAAGCACCGGTAGCTATCTCCTGAAGACCCTAAGACCCCCACGACCCCAAACCCTAAACCCTAAACCCCAAAACCCTGAACCCCAAAGCCTAAACCCCAAAGCCTAAACTCTATAGGCTCCAAGCCCTAAGCCCTAAACCCTAATGGCCGTAATGAGTCTGCCAGGAGGCATTTCCACCAAAGCCGAAGACTGAAGGCAGAATCTGCCAGCCAGGGTTTAGGGTTTAGGGTGTAGGGTTTAGGGCTTGGGGGGGTAGGGCTGTCAGGGATGGAGGATGTAGACAGATTGCGATTTCTTGCGACTGCACACGCCGTGCGGCCTGGTGTTTTGCACACCAGCAAATCCTGTAAAACACTCACAAACACTCCCTTTTCGAGGTTTCGAGACTTCAAAAGGGGGCTGGCCAGTCTGGCTTGACTACCTTGGCGACTACACGAACCCTAACATTGGGACCACATACCCTATACTACACTCCCCAACAGGGCATATGAACCCCCAAACCCGAAACCGTTTCAATTCATTCGGTCCCAAGGTATGTTTGACTGTACAACTTCAGACACAAGATGTGCCAGGCCCCCAGCAAAACACCTCAGAGCTCCCTAGACCCTACACCCTAAACCATAAACCCTAAACCCTAAATCCTAAAGAGCTCGCAGGCGGTGCGGCATCGGCTGCCTCAGCGCTTGGCTTTCGGAAGGGCGTGGGGCTTCACGTGGGGCTGGAGCTCCTTCGCCTTCTTGTACAGCTCGGTGCCCTTTCGGATCGCGACGAAGCCTTTGATCCCAAGCTCATCCCTGGCTTTCCTAGGATGGCCCGTAAAGGCGTAAAGTAAACCCTAAACCCTAAACCCTAAACCCTAAACCCTAAACCCTAACCCCTAAATATAGTCCTCTTAAGCCCAAGAAGGGGAAGCATAAAAATGTCCCAAGGGCCTGCCGTGTTTCTGGCACGCGGCGATCCAGCAGGCGACCCGCCCGAAGCTTTTCCGGCCTGCTTCGGACATCTTCTTGCCTTAGTTGCTGAGTTCATAAGCCCCAAAAAGTGTACACTTCAAGTCGTTTTGTAGAGACTAATTTTAATAGTATCCCAAAAAGTGTAAAGTGTACTCACTCAGCTGCTAAGTTGCTCACCACCTTGCCGTACTTGTTCCGCTTCAGGTCGGCTTTCTTGAGGCCGGTGGAGGTCCGGGTGAACTTGCCAAGGAAGACTTGCTCTTTGGCTTGCTTGCCCTTTGCGACCTTCACGGCCTTCTTCGCGACCTTGCGGGACTTCGGCTTGGCCTCACGGGTGAGTTTGGCTTTCCTCGCCCCGGGCTTGGAGGACTTTGCCTTAGTTGTCCAGCACCTAGGGGCTTTTAAGGTTCACCTTTGGGATTATAAGGGGAAGATATTCCCCCAAACAGGTTAAAGATGATATTACTCTACTACGAAGTTGCAGTCTTCAGGATCTTCTTCGTCACCTTCTTCCGGTCGACTGGCGCTTTGGGGGCTCGCTTCCCTGCCGCCGGGCGAACACCTTTGGTGCTTTTGCCGCCCTTCGGAGGAGCCTCGGTGGCGGTGAAGCGCCGGATAGCCCTGACCTTTCCTGTCTTGGTGTTCTCCTGAGTCATGGCCTCCAGGTCGATTCTGTATGAGAAGAAGCCTGACGAGACTGTCCTGATCTTGGTGCGAGACTCCTGGTTGTTGCTCATGTGTTGCGCGAAGACGTCTTCCACCTCTGCTGATGCGTCATCCTCGTACGGGTACCAGCCACGAGACTTGCCATCCACGCCATCATGCACGTAGTATTGCCAGTAAGCCTTCTCCTCTACGGCAGCCACCTGTTGCCACCAGAAGCGTCCATGCGCCACTCTGTCACCTGGCTTGATGCTTCCCCACGAAGCACCCGTGCGTGCCTCGAAGGCCTCGGCGAAGACTTCGCGCATCTTCTGCTCGGAGAAGGGGCCTTCGATCTTCTTGCTGCCCGAGCTGCCGGTGTTGCCCCAGCGCTGGTAGCAGTAGAAGCACTCGGCATCTTCGCTGCTTTCATCCTGTAGACCCTGCAGAATGTGGTATGCGTCAATCGCGCCATAGATGCACACCAGGCGTACATCAAGGTCCGCAAGCAGCACCACTCGCTCAGCGAGGTCCTTGTCCAGAACCGCCAGGGAAGGGTCCACCATGGCTTTGAAGCTTGCGATCGGGCGACTCTTGAGGCGATATGGTAGGCTGTGGCATTCAGCGCAGCTGGCTCGTGTGTGGCGCGCCATCTCCTCGAATAAACTTTGCGACGCCAAAAAGCCCCCCCCCCCCCCCTAAAGACGAACCTCACTTTTTCGGGCTCAAGGCAAGAAGTAGCCAACAGCACAACCCTAAACCCTAAACCCTAAACCCTAAAACCTAAACCCTAAACCCTAAACCCAAAACCCAAAACCCTAAACCCACACTATGCTGGTGTTGGGGGGTTTTCTGAGTTTAGGGGTTCGAGTTCAGGGTTCACGGGGTTCGCAGACTATACCCGGAGCCCTATAGATGCCCCTTGCGACATCTACTAAGTGCTTAAGAACCCCCCAAAAAATGATAATGTTCTTCCTTAATAAGGGCAATATAGGGACTATTATTTTTCTTTTGGGGTTCTTAAGCAAATGGAAGACATAGGGCTCTGAACCGAAAAAGGAATCGTGCCGCAGCCTGCAGGAAGGACAGCACAAAGCCCAGCAAAGAGAGCAGGCTACCTTAATTGTCACACACACACATAAACACCAAACCCATACAAACCCCAAAACCATGAAAACCCATCCAAACCCAAACCCCAAACCCCAACCCTAAACCCCAAACCCCAAACCCCAAACCCAAACCCCAAACCCCAAACCCCAACCCCCAAGCCCCCAAGCCCCCAAGCCCCCTCTTGATGATGAAGCATCATATCCCTTCTGCAGGCCTTTTAGCTATGATCAAGTGCAGTATCTGAAAAGGGCGATTTGACTTGTGCGAGTTCACAGGTGTCTTGGCAGCATTAACCCTAAACCCTAACCTCTAATCTAAGGGTTGGTTTCCTTAGGTTATGAGCCCAAGGGCTCTAGGGCTTAGCGCTTAGATTAATTTCCTGGTTGGTCTAGCCTTTGCAAATCTTATTCTAAACGAGAGACATCCGAGAGTCGCTGCTGTGAGCCATGGACTTGAGCATGAGGAGAGGAAGATCTCCCGCGGGCCAGACAGGCCAGACCCCTTCGTCAATGGGCACAGCTTCGAGGATGGCCTCGCCGCCTGCTACACCAGCAGAGATATCGCGAGAAGTGCGTGTGGATGAGACTTCTCTTGAGCCGAGCTATGATACATCCCAGCAGATACAAGGTGGTGAAGCGCTACAACTTGGAAGGTCAGAGGCCAGCACAGGGCAAGGGCCGAGAGGGCAAGGGCCGAGCAACTCCGAGAACGCGCAGCACTTCAGCTTGAATGAGGCCTGGGAAGCGGCTCAGCAACAGGAGGAGATTTCGGTTGATGACGCTCGAGAACGCAATAGAACGATGAGATCTCTTGATCAGAACGATGGTGACAATATGCAGATACATAGGCAACGATCTCTTGATCGGGACAACGATGAGACCGCCACGTCTTTAAGACAGACAATTTCAGGGTCCCCAGGACCAGGATCTCTTGATCCAGACGCGTCACGACGAGGATCTCTTGATCCGACCAACGATCCACGGGGAGGTCAGTCAAGTTGGAACGCGTTGGAGGCACTACGAAGTTCTTTGAGATCAGTTGGCTTGGGAACCAGAAGTGATGAGCAGAACTTGGCAGTTGCTGGTCGTGCGCAGCAAGGGCCTGAAGAGAGGATGAGTCCTCTCCCACTGGCAGGGGCCTGCGTTGGGACAGGGCCTCTGGCAGTGCGGGAGACCCCTCAGACTCAGGGAGCTCTTGCGGCGCAGGACCTGGCACAGGTTGGGTCTAGTGGTTTAGGGGTGCGTGGTGTAGAAGGTTTGCTGTACAGGGATCCGATGTCGCATAGCGGGCAAAGCCGGCATTCAGGTAGCGAACTTGCACAACTTGTAGAGGGCATGAGCCAGATGCAGGGTCTTCTGCAGGGTGTCCATGCAAGGCTGCAGAGCCTTGAAGAAGCGCGGAGTGTGGGATCAGGTGGATCTAGAAACACTTACAGCCTAGGTAGGGTAGATATGGAAGCCTTAAGGGCACATTTTGGTGCTTTGGAAATGGATCCATCTGCTCCTAGGAATCCGCCTGTAGCTCCAGGCCTTGATGGTAGGGAACTAGCGACGCCAGAGCATCCAGTAGAAGCCTATCCCATCCCTCTACATGACAGAACGTCGCAAGCGAGCTCCCCGATAGCAACTAGGCCGGTAGAACAACACTTTATCGGGTCACCTGACAGTTTTGGTAGCCAACCTCATGCCCCTTTAACCTCGACATTCCAAAGACCCTTGATGCACTTATGGGAAATTGATGCTGGAGTAGGCCTCAGAAGTAGGGAGAGCGCGAGCGATGGCTCCTTGGACCTGTGGGGACAAAGTAGGGGTGATAAGGGGATAGGAAAAGGGAATCCTGAACCTCGAAGCCCTGCTCCCCTCCAGGCCCCAATCAATTCCTCTCTGCAAGGCCAAGTAGGTCCCAGCATTCCGCCAGATCCCGTGCCGACTGTGGCACAAAGGACCGCTCCGGCCCAGGAGCTTACGGTGTGGATAGGGGATGTAGAGTATGAAGTGGGCTTTGAAGGGGGTAGAGCTACAGTCAAGGGAAGGGTTGATAGAGGTTTGGATTTCGGTTGCAGTAGGCCAGCGTACAGGCCGCCGTCTCCTCCGCCTCGGCCACCCCAAACAACACCGCCTCCAAGCCCCCCAGCACACGTTCCTTTTGTGCATCAGGAAATGACCGCAAGTAGTAGCCAGCAAGCATTTGTGCCAGGAGCTTCTGTGCCTGTTCTGAGTATGTACCCACGCCCTTTGATGGAGTCTATGCCGGACATGAGAGCGCATGATGATGCTAGGGCGTATGCTCCAGATAGAAGCCGTGAAATCATGTTACCAACTCTTGAAATAACTCCAGAAGAGGGACCGCTAGCAGTAGGGGATTGGCTAACGCTAATTGCTCCACTTATCTCGGACTTGGCGCCGGCAGCGTCGACTTGGTGGGGTTTGGTTGCAGCAGAAGCAGACCGACGCTACAAAGTGTGGCTTCAGTCCCCGCCGCTTGAAAGAGCGGCGCTGAAAGGAGCGCTCCCCGAGAATCTGCAGGAACCACGCTACATGCGGTTGGAGCAGAGGACGGTTTCGATGCTCATCAAGGCTTTGCCTAAGGATCTCTCTGAAGAACTCATATCGCAAGGGGATCTGACAACGGTTGGCGTGCTATTCAGGGTGTTGATTAAGGGTCAGCCTGGCGGGGCCAAAGAGCGACAACTTATCCTCTCTTATCTACACAACCCAGGTGTGGCTAGTAGTCCTTCGGATGCGAACTTAAAGTTAAGACGATGGTCACGGTGGGCCTCCCGGGGGAGGCAGTTGGGTATTTCGATGCCTGATCCGTCTCTTCTTCTCAAGGGAATCGACTCGTTGATGGCGGGAGTTCTCAAGAGCTACACGCAAGCCAGCTTTAGACTGTCCTTTGTCAGGGTACAGAGCAGCCTGGACCATGCACCCACGCTGGAGTCAGTCCTTTCGTACTTGAAGCATGTTCAGGCCGAAGCGGAGCTTCTCGAGTATGGGTTGGAGTCAGATCCCAAGAAGCCACGCGTAGCAAAGGCCACTGAGACTGATGATGTAGCAAGCCCAAACGCCCCAAACAACCCTAGGAAAGGATCTCCAAAAGGGAAGCCTAAAGGGAAGCCGAAGGGTAAAGACCAAGGGGGTTCCGGGGGTTCCGGGGGTACAAGGGAAGGGCAGGAAAATAAGCCGACGTGCAAGGGGTACCTAACGCCGCGCGGGTGTGCTTTTGGGGATAATTGTAGAAACCTGCACGACTTTGCAGAAGCTGCTCGGCAACAAGTATGTTATGCTTGCGGAGCCACAGATCCCGCAACGAATCATCGTCGTCCTGAATGCCCTACTCTTCAAGGTCCTCAGTTCAAGAAAGGGGATAAGGGAGGCAAGGGCGGTAAGGGCAACAAGGGTAACAAGGGTGGGCCTCCAAAAGGAGGCAAGCCGAACATTGCAGCGGCTACAGTAGAAACCCCAGGACCTGTCATCGCCGAAGTTGCTACAAACGCATCTACACATAGCGGAAACACCTCCGCAGCTGCAGGGACATCCGCAGAGCAAGAAGCTGGTCGGGTCTTGAAAGGGATTCGTTTGGCATGTCTTCAGGGGCCCGGAGTGGCATCCTTGCAGGATGGGGGGAGTCCGGTTTCGTTTGGTCCGGTTTCGTTTGGTGCTTCAACTTCGGATTTGAAGGTCAGTTGTGGTCCGGGGGGAATTGGGGAGGTTGCTTCGAATTTACAGGAATCACCTAGAAGTAGTGAGGGCGGGGTTCCGAAATGGACTCGCTCAAGGGCAGATGTTCGGTTAGAGCCGCAAGGGACCGTTCATCCAGATTGGCTAGAGCCGGAAGGGGCCAATCGCCTGAGCTGGCTAGAGCCAGATGGGGCCAGCGAGAGCAGGGATCGGCTAGAGCCGGATGGAGCCGACATGGGTGATTTCCGTGAATTGAAGCTTCCAGGGTTTGAAAAGGATGTTCCTAGGTTCTGTACGTTTGGTGTAGAGGTTGTTGTTGGTGAAGATGAGCGTATTTCAGTTGCAGAAGCTTTCTTGGATTCAGGCGCGACTCATGTGTACCGATATGCGCAAGTCAGAGAGTATCAATCTGCAGTGGCCTGTGACATTATGCTTCCGGTAGGTCTATCTGTAGGGCGAATGTCATCAAAGGGGTCCTTGCTTTCCATGGACACGAAGCCTGCGGTAATCCCTCTGGGAAAGGTGGTTGAGGTCCTAGGATGTGAAGTCCGTTGGGATTTTCAGGGACCACTTGTCAAGCATCCACTAAGAGGGCTTTTGGGTGTAAGGACTGTTCATGGCAGGATGGTCCTAGGAGTAGCAGATGCCCGAGCTCTGGTCGATGAACTAGAGACTGCGTGGGAGCTAGGGGTTACTCGTGAAGATCCAAGCCCATCGTTGCGGGTAGTGGAATCTGCGGGGAGCCAAGGGCAACCGTGCGTGTCTGTGAGATTTCTGAAAGCGGAAGAAAACACCTTGGGACTAATCGATGGCGGGGCTACTAACGCGCTTCGTCAAGGATCTGCCAAGGAGCTTCAGCAGGCTAGTGTAGTAAAAGTGGAGTTGGCTGCTGGACAAACTGAGCTTCGGATGAATGAGCAAGGCACCCTGCTCACTGCGCATAGGGTCACTCCGATACTGCCTCTAGGACCCGCGATTGAGTGTCTGGGTATGGTTTTAGAGTGGTCAACAGAGGGGATTCGCCTGACTCACCCTACGAGAGGTGAGCTTCCGGTTACCTTGGTCAAGGGTTGTCCTATGATCGCTCAAGAGTTGCTGATGGACTTGATTCTGGAATTGGAGGACAAGATCAGAGTCAGGGAACTGAGAGTCAAGGCTATGCAGTTAAGTGAGAGTCCGGATTTTGAGATCCAAGGGTCTTTGAAGGAGGCTCTAAATGCCTGTAGGGGAGATGCCAAGAAAGAGTCAGTCGTTCTGGCTGCGTACGCTAAGAAGATCTTCCCGGAGGTGCCTCACGACATCCTTCAGCAGGTCGCTCCTTTGCAGGTGAACCCTGAAACCAACGATGCCCAAACAACAGGTCTGAATCGCAGGGCTCGACGTAGGCTAAAGAAAGCGCAACGGGTGCTGGTACATCTGTTCTCGGGGCAACAATCCTGGAAGGCTAAGCATGATGAGGCCTTTCTAGAGGTAGAATTGAATCGGGGAAGGGACTTGTTTAACGAGTCTCTCTATTCGTATGTACTTCAAGAGATCCTGTCTGGCAAAGTAAAAGGGATACTGGGTGGTCCTCCGTGTAGGACGATGTCACGGTCTAGGGCTAGGTCTCCGGGACCACGCGTTTTGAGGGCGAGACATGGAATCGAGCGGTTCGGGCTAGAGGGATTGACAGGTAAGGAGAGGACTTTGGCGATTCGAGATACCGTACTAATCTTGAGAATGCTCTTCTTGATGCATGTGACTCAGGAGGTTCAGGAAGGGAATGCGTATCTTGGGTTTGAGCACCCCAGGGATCCTGCGGAGCTGGATCCTTCCCCTGAGGCACAAGCGTTGCCATCGCTTTGGGAATGGCCTGAAATCAAAGGGTTAGGGCTGTATAAAGTACGGTTTGACCAGGGCGCTTTAGGGCATGACCATGTAAAACCATCGGTCTTTGCAACGTCCTCGTGGATGGTAGCCGAAGAACTTTCCGACAAGGTTGTTCCTCCGACCGCGCGGTGGATCTCTACCTCTAGTGACACAGAGTCCTTAAGAGAAAGGATGGAGCGCACAAGTAAGGCCTCGAAATGGGCGCCGGGATTGGTGTCCATTCTTCAGCGAGGGTGGGAGTTATGGTCTAGTAGCAGAGAAGAAAATGTGAATGCGGTAAGGGACAGGATTCGGCTTTTGTCCGGGCTCATGATAGATGAAGGAATGGACCCTGAAGTAGTGCACAGAATCTGTAGCGAGCTGAATCCTCCTTTCCCTAGAGTATCCCGCCTTAAGCCGAAGGAGCAGTCCTTTAAAGAACATTGCCAACGTGGGCACGCTCCATGGCGGGGTGACTGCCGAGCCTGCCTAGAATCGGCAGCATTCCACCATCCTTGCCGTCGTAGAAAGCATGCGCATATGTTTTCCCTTTGCGTAGATCTTACGGGTCCTTATACTAAAGGTTCAGATCAGGAGGGCATTGCGCGGTATGCAGTCGTAGGAGTATACACCTTCCCAAGATTCTGGAAAAATGGTGAGCCAGTTGAAGATGACGGACGTGGGGTAGGTGTTATCTCTGAAAACGAGGGAGAAAAAGAGGATATGGGCAAAGCGGGAGAGCAGGACGAGCCAATACCAAACCCAGATGAGTGGGCAGAAATTGAAGGCGAAGAGGAGCCTGCGGCAGATCCACTTCCGGCAGATGTGGACGAGGTAAAGAAAGAGGAGCGTAGATGGACAGCCATTTGTGAGGCCTCACTGGACCCTCTGCCGGCGATCCGGATTCCGTTTCTAATTCCGGTGTACAAAAAGAGTCCGAAACAGGTCACTGAAGCCGTGGCTCGTATCTTCATAAGGTTAAAGACTTTAGGACTACCTCTTCACCGAATCCATAGCGACCGCGGAGCGGAATTCGTTAACAAGACCTTCTTATCATGGTGTAGGGCGAGAGACCTGCATATCACGACAACTGCAGCAGATCTCCCTCAGTCCAACGGCCTTGCAGAGCGCTTCATAGGCCTTATCAAACGACAAGCCCGATCCCTTCTACATTCTGTAGGTGCTAGGTCTAGCGACTGGCCTCATGCGATGAGATACTCGGTCGAAACAATGTATGATGAAGCAATGAGGGGCCTGGGTGTGATTCCTAAAAGGCAACAGCTTCCCTTTGGCGCGAATATCTATGTCAGGGAACGTACCTGGAGGTGGGCATCATGGACAGCGAGAGCAGTTCAGGCCACCGTCCTGGCGCCGTCGGAGCATGTCTCAAAGGGTTGGGTGGTGCGAGTGACCCGCCCTGATGGAACCCCAGTACTCCTAATAACTACTTTAGCTTATCAAAAGGTTAGGGAGCCGGAACCGTTGAATGCACCTCCAGAAGCAGCAGAACAGCCTAGTGAGGCCTTTCCGGTGGACAGTCCGGCTGCTGGTAGTAGACCTAAAGCGCCACGTCCACTAGGAGGTTTCATTACGGGTCGTGAGAGTAGGGTGCCTTCTGAAGCCGAGCCTCCGTTGCATCCACCAGCTGATGCACCAAGTGTCCCCCGTCGACGTATCAGGGCCAAAGGAGGGTTGCGCCACCTAGTGCCGCAAGGGGGAGGACCTGAAATGTTGGGAATGTTGCAGAAGTTAAAGAGTCTTGGAGTCAGCTGGGTGGATGAGGATGAGAATCATTCGGGGTCGGGGGAGTCGGAGGACGAGGAGTCGGGTCATACGATCTTGTTTGCACTTCCAGTAGAAGAAAGCTCATTCAAGGTGTGTCATGTTGAAGCCGTAGATGGGGTGGAACAAGAAGCCAAACTTCTTAGAGAACAGGGAGCTATGTCAAGGAGAGCGGTTTGTGATTTGGTACTTCGGAGTAAGTGGCCTTCGTGTAGAAATCACAGGAGGGCCGATAAGACAACGCATGAAAAGGGTAGGCTAGCGGTTCTTGGTGCTTTTGCTCACGGGGGTATTTATGGAGTCACCCAGGTAACGCACCAAAAGCCAGAAATGGTAAAAACCCTGAACGTGTATCTCCGTCAAGAAGTCCCAGATGCCACCTATACTGCGATCCTGGTTAGTCAGAGGGGTCCTTCAGAATGGCACCGAGATGTCAACAATGCGGAAGGGTCCATCAACTGGGTAGTTCCATTAGGAGATTTTCAAGGTGGCGAAATTAGAGTGTTACCTGAAGGGCTAAGAACCGATGAAGCTGATGTAGATGAGCATATGGGCATCTTGTACCCCCCAGCAAATCATCCAGTGTCATTCAATCCCAAAAGGAGACACAAGGTTCTTCCTCATACCGGGAATCGTCTCGTCTTGGTTGCCTATACACCTCGAGGATGGACTCGTCTTCCAGAGTCGACGATAAAGGAACTTCGGGAGCTTGGGTTTCCGGTTCCTCCGCTGCCTAAGGGATCCGAGCCAGTAGTCAGAGCTGTTTCAGTAGCCTATGTCGGCGACGACAGTAGTGAAGGCGATGGTGGCTTAGGCTGCACCATTGTAGATGACCAGCAGTATGCCATGGATGAGAAGTTGGTAGAAATGCTGCAAGCTGACCTTTACTTCCTCTCACGGGTCTTTTCTTGGGAGTGTCAGTTGGCGTCCGAAACGCTGAGGGAAGCCGGGCCGTCAAACTGCCCAAGCATGTGCTACATCAACATGTTGGACTCGCAAATCCAAGAGCTGCAAGAGGAGTTGCTGTGGATCGATTCCGGGACAAAGCTTGATGGCACTGTCAGCGGGCATGATGACGAGAGGCTAGCCAAGGCTATGATAAGGACACTAGCAGTGAAGGAAAGCGAGAAGGGCCCACAAGAAGAAAGTGAGCCAGAGGTGTTCCTGCAGGCTAGGACTATCGACCCGCAGCAGGCAGCGGGCGAACTTGAAAAGTGGGTCCCCCCACTGTTGGACGAATACACTGGGTTACGCTTTCAATATGAAGCCATCTACCCCATCGACGTGAACCAGTTGTGTGAGGAAGATGTGCAGAGTGGAGCAATAGAAATCCTACCTGCAAAGGTGGTGTTCACGAGAAAGCCACCGGTGGGAAAAAGACGCGCGCGCATAGTGGCGTGCGGAAACTTTCAGCAGAAGACCTGGAGCGATCAAGTTGCAGTTGCTCGTCGAGAGGTATACGCCTCTGGGCTAGACACCATCGCGTTGAGAATCCAGTTGCGACAGGCGTCTCTATGTGGGTGGACCGCTGCAATCCTAGACATAAGAAAAGCCTTCCTGTATGCGCCGCTGCACGAACGGAAGGGAAAAGGAAAACGCATAATCTTGATGCCGCCTAAAATACTGGTCAAGGCCAAGATAATCCCACCGTCGGAGCGATGGGTTATCCAGAGAGCACTATACGGCTTGGACTTAAGCCCGGCGGCATGGAGCCGACACCGTGACAAATGTCTTTCTCAGCTGAAGTGGGCCTTCGAGGGTTTGGAGTACAGACTAACACAGAGCGATTCCGAACCGTCTCTTTGGAAAATCCAGGATTCCAGCAACGCTTTGAAGGGGCTCATTGGCGTATATGTTGACGATATGCTCTTGAGTGCTTGCAGAGGCTTCTTGGAATCAGTGGCAGGGGCCATTCAGACGCTTTGGGAGACCAGCGACATTAAGTTTGCGGAGGACGGTTTGCACTTTCTTGGTGTTGATATCCGGCTGCACAATGGTAGGTATTACCTAACACAAGTGAGCTATGTCACCGAGTTGCTGAACAGGCATCCCGAAATTGAGGGGACTGCGTCGACGCCGTATCCAGCTGAGAAGGATCAGGAGACCGAAGAAGAGAATATCCAGATGGAGTCGGTTCGCTTAGCGCAGGGGCTGATTGGAGAATTAACGTGGTTGGCCACGAAAACAAGGTTGGATATCGCGTGGGCGGTGAACCGTGCTTCTCAGCTTTCTAGCAAGCGTCCTAGCAGGGCGATTGCAGTGTGCCAAAACATCGTGCGATATCTCCGAGGAAAGCCGGATTTGGGCCTGGTGTACGGGCCGAAGCCTGCGCAGGGCGTGAAGGTCGAAATGACGGAGGGGACTCTAGAAGTCGCCACAGACGCGTCGTTTGCACCGCTGGGCGAAAAGTCACAAACCGGCGTGGTGTTAAAATGGGCCGGCGCTGTCATCGGCTGGGTTTCCTCAAAGCAGACGTTCGTCTGCCTGAGTTCGGCAGAAGCTGAGCTATATGCGGCCATGGAAGGTATGGTCATGACAGACAGTGTCAGTGACCTGGTACGCGAACTAGTAGGGCAGGTGGCGCCAGCTCTCTATTCGGACAACGTTGCATGCACTTGCTTGATCGCTCTCCCGGCGGGCTCATGGAGAACCCGTCATTTGAGACTTCGCGCGAGAAGATTGCACGAGAGAATAGAGAATGAGGAGCTTCAATGTTTTCACCTACCAGGGGAGGTCATGACCGCGGACCTATTAACCAAGTCGCTTTCGTCTCAGAGGATGCAGAAGCTACTTGACTTGGCTGGAGTCGTCCAGTTGTCCCATGTCTTAAGATGCGCCGTGGTGGTGCTGAGCATCTCCAGAGCGCAAGCTCAGCCATCTGAAGATGAAGAAGATGAAGCGTCATGGGTTCCGCTTCTGCTAGTAATGGGGTTCACGGTCTTAATCGCAAGACTTTTGGAACTATGTTTGCGATGGTGTTGGAGTCAAGGGGCAAGGAGACTTAGAGATCTTCAGGGGCCACCTGAGAACGGAGAACTAGTAGGGTCTGTTCTAGAACAAGTATCTTCGCAGGGAGCTGTAGACGGGTCTGAGGTGACAGTAGTCGCTTTTGGGGATGACGTTGGACTGGTAGGGCCAGAGGATCAGGTCGAAGTTGTGGCTGCGGACTTGATCGCTAGGGCGCTAGAAGAAGAAGAACGAGCCTTGTTTCATAGGTGGTATGCTCTATATGTTGAGCCCTATGATCCCTACGACCCGTTGTTAGATGAGTCCCCATCCCGCAGAGCCTCTCTTGAAGACATTTGGTCGGAACCTCAAAGCCCAAATCCCGAACCTGAAATAGGACAGGGGTCTAGGACCGGGGGAGTAGAACTGTCTCAGGCGGCAGGGCCTAAAACTAAAGCTCCAGATCCTAAGTCAAGTACCCAAACTTCCTTTCAGGGGCACCATCCCTCGTTGAGTTCTGGGCTTTCGGAAGAGTCTCTGGTTTCGGGTGGGAGTCTTGAAGTAGACCCTAAGAGTAAGCCTCCTGCACCAAAACCGCCCCCGGATGGTTGGTTGGGAACCGTTGTAAAAAGGCCTCCGCCCGTGACATCGCAGTCTGTAGCTATCCCTATCCCTAAGCCGAAACTACCGCCTGAAGGTTGGTTGGGAACTGTTGCCCCAAAGCATCCAACCGCGAAGGCACAGTCTGTAGGTGTCCCAAAGTCTCCTCCTGTTAAGCAACCCCCACCAGCTCCGAAATTGAACCCGCAAGCTCATCAGGACATGATATTAATCGCGCAGACACAAGAATTGATTCAGTGGGAGCTTCGCCGAAATCTCGGCCATCAGCCCATTGAAGGGCTCAGAGATAACTTCCACTACATTCCCGAACTTGGTCTGCTGATAAGATGGCATCCGATGTGGCGCCAACAGTTCTTCGACCCAAGTCGGACAGCACTTCCGATATCACTAAGCAGGTTGGTTGGGGATCGTCGGTCTTTCTGTATCTTCAGGGATGGTACCAGTGGCATTCTTGATGACAACTTCAGGGTCACGCGCCAAGGGGCGAACGTCTCAACGATGCAATGGCAGGGGAGAACTGAGTTCCTTGTAGCTCCTCCAACCCCTATAGCTCCTGTACCAAACCCTCCTCCAAGCAAATCGAAAGCCGCAGGTCCCAAACCAAAGTCTAAGCCGAAATCTCAACCGAAAGCCGAGCCGAAGCCGAAAACACCACCACGTCGCTTAACACAGTGAAGCGGAAACTGTAGACCTCAAACAAGGCGTACTCCTAGAAGTCCTGATTCCTAGTCTTAAGTGATGTAGGTTTTGGGTGTTTAGATAGGGTTGACGGGGTAAGTTCTCCTTCCTTTGGGGCCAGTAGCGTCTTAAAGGGTTTTCTAGGTCCTATACTTGGTACAGATAAGTATGTGGACACCGTCTTGCGTAAGCTGGTTTTCCGTAGTCTTGAGCGTCGCAGAGTGTTTGAAACCGCAGTATCGTTTAGAGCATCTTGATCGTAGGCAGCCGGTAAGTGCTGCTATTGTTTCCGAGAAGGGGAGCTCGCTGGACCTTTGGGATTCCTGTCCTGTCCTTAGGCGTCCCCCCGTAGATCTCCTTTAGATCTCCGTTGTTGGTGTTGTTACGCAGAAAAGGCCTTGAGCTTTGAGCACTCACTCCACGGCCTAACAACTACCTGGCCAAGTGTTTGAAAGAGTGGTGTGCCTTAGATATGAGTTTGCATGCTGCAAAGGGGGAGTCTTGATGATGAAGCATCATATCCCTTCTGCAGGCCTTTTAGCTATGATCAAGTGCAGTATCTGAAAAGGGCGATTTGACTTGTGCGAGTTCACAGGTGTCTTGGCAGCATTAACCCTAAACCCTAACCTCTAATCTAAGGGTTGGTTTCCTTACCCCAAACCCTAAACCCCAAACCCTAAACCCCAAACCCGAAACCCAAAACCCTAAACCCCAACCCTAAACCCCACACCCTAAACCCCAAGCCCCAAACCCCAAACCCTAAACCCCAAACCCCAAACCCTAAACCCCAAACCCTAAACCCCAAACCCTAAACCCCACACCCTAAACCCTAAACCCCAAACCCTAAACCTCCCAATAAATGGCGCAGGCTAGAAGCACGACCAACTGCAGCTCTTGCATCCCGCGGTCCAGCCGGGCATCGTCGTGTAACGTGCTGCCGGCATGGACAATCCTTTGCCTGAAACTGGTTCTTACTCGGGAACCCTAAACCCTAAACCCTAAACCCTAAACCCTAAACCCTAAACCCTAAACCCTAAACCCTAAACCCTAAACCCTAAACCCTAAACCCTAAACCCTAAACCCTAAACCCTAAACCCTAGACTCTAAGAACCAACGGGGTTGCCTGAAGCGGGGGATGCCGCTCAGCTTCATCAGCTGCCTCGGTTTTGGGTTTTGTGGGGGCTTTATGGGGTTTGTGGGGTTTGTGGGGTTTATGGGGTTTGTAGGGTTTGAGGGGTTTACAGGGTTTAGAGGGTTTAGAGGGTTTGTAGGGTTTAGAGGGTGTAGGGTTTTTGGGGGTTTTATAGGGTCTAGTGCTTTAGGGTTTAGGCTTCGGCTGCGGCCTCTTCAAAGATCGAACGTTGCGCACTTCTTCCTCCAGTGGCACCGTGAACTCCTGCCCTGAGAGAGTGTAGACACTGTAGGTGGTGACCATTTTCGAGCGCAGCTGATGCCATATGAGGCCGAGCTCCTTGATCCCTTTAAGGGTACCCTATCATAATCCCTTTAAGGGTACCCTATAATCATCTTCTTTAGGAGTACCCGGCAGAATCCCTTTAAGTGTATATATTTATCTAGGGCCCCTAGATTTCTTTGATGCAAAGAGCCTGAGCCTCAGCCTTCACAATTACTTGAGACCTTCCCCTATTTCCTCCCCAGGAGAACCCGCAAGCTCACTGTATTCCCGTAGCTACAATCGCCTCCTACCTAGCATCCCTAAACCCTAAACCCTAAACCCTAAACCCTAAACCCTAAACCCTAAACCCTAAACCCTAAACCCTAAACCCTGAAATCTCTCTCACTTTCGCAGCTCCAGGGCCCTTGCAAAGTCCTATGGTGCAATCGCCCATCTCCCCAACTGCGAGCCCAAACAGCGTCAGACCAAGCAGTGGTCAGGACTTAGGACTTAGGGTTTAGGGTTTAGGGTTTAGGGTTTAGGGTTTAGGGTTTAGGGTTTGGGATTTAGGGTTTAGGGTTTAGGGTTTAGGGTTTAGGGTTTAGGGTTTAGGGTTTCGGGCTTAGGGTTTAGGGTTTAGGGTTTAGGGTTTAGGGGTTAGGGCTTAGGGTTCAGGGTTCAGGGCTGGGTTTAGGGTTTAGGGCAGTTTAGGGTTCAGGGTTTAGGCCTTCGGGGGGCTCCAAGGTGCCTGGGTTAAAGTACGATTGCATGACCCTCGGGGCTAACCCCGAAACCCCACACCCCTAAACCGCAAGGACCACACCCCAACCCTAAACCCTAAACCCGAAACCCTAAACCCCAAACCCTAAACCCTAAACCCTAAACCCCAAACCCTAAACCCCGAAACCGTAAACCCCACACCTCAAACCCCAAACCCTTATACCGTAAGCCCTAAAACCCTTCATATCCATGAGGTCGAAGATTCCGTCGGCTTCAGGTTTCAGGCTCAGGGCCTTATCCTCAGCATGGACAAAGCAACAAGCTAAGGAAGCTATGGGTTTAGGGTTTGGGGTTTGGGGTTTAGGGTTTGGGGTTTAGGGTTTAGAGTTTAGGGCACCGAACTCTGGGGTTGCGCAGAGTTGTGAACATCTTCTCTCACCTACGTTTAGGGTTTAGGGTTTAGGGTTTAGGGTTTAGGGTTTAGGGTATAAGGTTTAGGGTTTAGGGTTTAGGTTTTAGACACATGCCCACAGTCCAACAGAACCTTGCCATTCGCCACCATGTCATGGACATGCCTTCGCTGAGAAAACATCTAAGCAATGAAGCCCAAACCCTAAACCCTAAACCACCCTAAACCCTAAACCCTAAACCCTAAACCCTAAACCCCAAACCCCCAAACCATAACCCCTAAACCCCAAAACCCCTAAAGCCCAAAAACCCCAAAACCCCAAACCCTAAACCCCAAACCCTCAAACCCCCAAAACCCCAAAACCCCAAAACCCCCAAACCCTAAACCCTAACCCCTAAACCCCAAAACCCCAAAACCCTAAACCCTAAACCCCAAAACCCCAAAACCCCTACATCGCTAAACCCCTAAGCCCCCTCTGCGCCTGCAGGAGGATGCCCCAATGGAAAAACGGGCCTGGGTTCAGAGCGCTTCCCAAGTTTACAGGGTTTAGGGTTTAGGGTTTAGGGTTTAGGGTTTAGGGTTTAGGGTTCAGGGCTAGGGGTTAGGGTTTGGGGTTTAGGGCTAGGGTTTAGGGTTTCTTAGGGTTCAGGGTTTAAGGTTCTTCGGAGGTTTCAGGGTTCTTAGGGTTCTTCGGGCTTTGAGACACAGAGGCGCTTTAGGGCTTAGGGTCGGTAATTGAGCATTTCGGGCCTTTAGGGGGCTCACAGCCGTGAAGGTTTAGGATATAGGATTTAGGATTTAGGGTTTAGGGTTTAGGGTTTGGGGTTTGGGGTTTGGGGTTTGGGGTTTGGGGTTTGGGGTTTAGGGTTTGGGGGGCTTAAGGGCTCGTGTCACAGCACAACAGCTAGCAAAGGTAGGCCTTTGGGGAGTCTTTTGTTCCTGGGCCTCCCTGTTGTTCCTACACCCCAAACCCCAGATCCTAAAGGGTTTAGAGTTTAGGGTTTAGGGTTAGGGTTTAGGGTTTAGGGACCACAAATCCAAACTGTAAAGGCTGAGGGTTTCCTGGTGCCTGCCGGCGCGGAGGGACGGATGACCAACAGATTCCCCCCACCATGTGGGAGTTTTTGAAAGTAAGGTACCCCTATAAAGGCCTCCCAAAATCGTGGGAGTCCCTTATACCCTAAACCCTAAACCCGAAACCCTAAACCCTAAACCCTAAACCCTAAACCCTATAATCGGGACCCCAATAAGGCACCCTAAAATCGTAAACCTCCATGTACGACAGTGGAACCTTTGTCGGCTTTGTCGCCGTGAGCTGCCCTAAGCTCCTCAAAGCAAGCCTAGTACACTCGACGCGAAACCCCACAAAACCCTAAACCCTAAACCCTAAACCCTAAACCCTAAATCCTAAACCTACACTCTAAACCCTAAGCCCTAAGCCCTAAACCCTAAACCCCAGGGGGGCCTTTGTTGAGGCGAAACTGCTCCTCGAGGTCCTTGTAGTGGGAGAGGTGCTGCTGGTACTGCTGCAAGTAATACTTCCTGGCTCCGGGGTTAGGGTTTAGAGTTTCGGGTTTAGGGTAAAGTTTAGGCTTTAGGGTTTAGGGTTTTAGGGTTTTAGGGTT